CGAAAAGGAACACTACTTCAGAGAACTGCCCATGTAGAAATGGCACCGGTTTAGTTCTGTGTGTCTTCGGCGTGAAGTTGTGGCGCCCCACGTCGTCGCGAAATTAAAAGTTGACAGGCTCTGAACAATCGGCATCTGTAGGGTAATGTTGTACGTTCCAACCGGGATTTAGCACCATCTGAAGAAAATATCTGCAGGGTTGAATCTGAAACTCTTGCAGTTGAACAAGCAGTGCAAACACTATCCTAAAAGCTCTGTCGAGAAAGGTCGAGAAGCGGAAATGCGAAATGCCATGCGCTTCGCTCGGGAAGCTTGGGCAAGTCGCAGTTCATGAAGCGTTCGGGGATTTTTGCCGGAGGGTGTCTGTCAGGTTCCGGGTGTAAGCCGTGCTTGCAAAGTAGAGCCTGCAGAGCTGTAAGACATAACAGCACTAGAAATCCCACAATCCCACACCCCAAATGCGTTTGGGTACCTGCGGAGTCGGCTTTGGGGTCTTTCTGAACGTCTGTGAGATCTCAACAGTCCTTACAGTCTATGGTTCAGGGTTTGGGTTTGGCCGAAGTGCACGCGCAACCCATGCACCAGCAGGCACACATGTGTGTCCGCCATGACACATTTCCGGCTATGGATGTTTGCCTAGCACAGCTGCGAAAGCTTGGCATTTAAACCATTCACTGAGAACTGGCACTTGACACCCAGGTGCCTTCATATTTCAAGCATTGCGCCTCACACTCTGATGACGATGCCAGCGCGTGTCATTGTGTGCTTTCCTGACGTTTGTTGCCACTGTCGTGGAGTGGCGGTGTTGACAGGAAGCGCCGCAGGAACACACGAAGGAACGGACTATCGAACGAGCAGCAAAGCACCCAGAGCCGGGAGAGCATAAATCCAGGCAGGCAGGAATCAATATTCGCTTGTTTGTTTGTGTGCGCTCTCGGTGCTTCTTTGTTTACACATAGGTCATAGGTACCAAGTCCTCAGCATGTTGAAGTCTTCATTTATGGCATCTGTATCTTTTGGGGTATGCTGCGTTCAGGAGCATGAGAGGCAGTTCATCATCTTCGGGTTGTGCGCCAGTCACTTGCGAGGAGAAAGGAATGGAGCACCTGGGCGTCTACCACGAGGCTGTGCTGGCTAATTCATTGTCGATACTGACAATGATGTGATTGCCACAGTCATGGCCCAACGGTGCCTACGTTAGTGAGTGGTTTGGGCGAATACTACTGCCAACACGAGGAGGCTAGTGATGCCGCCATTGTTGAACAGCCCTACAGAAGAATCCTTTGGCTTGTCCCGTGAGAGTCGAAGCGTGTCGTTGTCGTTGCTCCAAGCAAGGATTAAACCGCTGGAACTTTGAGTTCCAGCCCTACCCAGTCGTGAAAGTCGAAAAATGCCCAAGCCTGGGTTTGGGAACGCCCCAACAGCAGGCAACGCCTCCAACAAAAATCACCGAAAATCCACACGTACTCAAAGTCCCCAATGTAACATACCTTATGACCTTAATAAGTCGTAGGATCCCTATCCACGGGGCTCCTCAAAGCAGGTGAGGGCCATCCACGGGGCTCTCTACGGCGAGGCTCTTTTGGAGCGTTTGAGTGCAGCAGCCGTGGTCGGGAGCCCCAGAGGTTCAGGTTTTGAAATTTAGGGTTTAGGGTTTTAGGGTCTTAGGGTTTAGAGTTTAGGGGTTTAGGGTTTAGGATGTGGGGTTGATGATGCTATATATTGTGCATATTCTTAACAACAATAGTGATAATGATGGTAATACTAATACTCGTGATGACCATAACGACCTCCGAATTCGGAGGTTCACTCTCAGAGGAGGGGAAGCTCATTTTCCAGCAATGGAAGACAGCTTCAGGATTTTGGGCTTAGGATTTGGCATCCTGGGTTCAGGATCTTCATACCATGGGGATCCTGGGGTCCCACAGAGCAGTGAACCATGCAAACGTCAACCTCGAGAAACCGAAGGAGAAGCAAGACACCCTTTTACGGTCATTGAGACCTACCTAGCAGTATCGTTCCTCCTTGCTTTTCTAGTCTATTCAGACAGTCAAAGCTTCGGTAAATAGGGGGTGCTTCTCATGACAGACAATGCGAACAGGCTCCCCATGGCAGAAGCTTGAAATTAAGGCACAGCTAAAGCAATAATTCGACGTCACTACCCCACCGCTCCGCCCACAGCTTGGTTAAACCACATCAACACGCTTGCTCCCGCTAGACCCTACTGCCGGTATTGTGAGGATCTCAGGGCTTTCTGACTTTCTGATTCAGCGCATGGTGCCTTAAGCTCCCCCTCTTGAAAAAAGATGCAACTGCGCATAACATATACCCGAAGCCCGAATCACGAAGCATCGGCCCCTAAGAGACGGTTGTGGGAGGATGCAGACCTGACGGGACTTGCAGCGGTGCACCGAATGGCCCTGGCTCATGGTCTTTTGGACCTGATCATCGGACGGGTCACTTCTTGAGTTTTGAGTTCAGGATTCAGGGTTTGGGACTCTAGAGCCTGCGGGCTTCCAGAATGCACGAGAGAGAGAGAGGGAGAGAGAGAGAGAGAGAGAGAGAGAGAGAGAGAAAGAGAGAGAGAGAGAGAGAGTTCAGGGGAAGCCCCATAACATATGGGGGGCCCATGTGGCCGAGGGGCCTAACCAGCCCTTCAAGCCCAGAGGAAGAAGAGTTCAGGGGTTTCGTTGTTGCTACTTCGGAGCATTTTGGCAACTTTCTGCCTGCTATGGTGCGAACCTCATCGCCAGGCGCGCATAGTTTGCCTTTGTAAACTAATAAGCATACGACCCCAGCAAACATTCACGGAATTGGTCCATTGTCGCTGTTTCGCGGCACCTTTGCAACTGAACAGTCATACTGCACGCTTCATCGGTTGTCGTGACATGCAACCGTACCAACTTGCCGAATTGCGGTCGAGATCCCCGGCATGACTTCTTCCCTAACTCTCCGAACTACCAATGAGGGCCCCCCTGGTAAATCAATATGAACCCTTCGTTTCATCCATGCCAACTACCTTGCAATGCGGGCTTCGTCCTTGCTTTGTAGGAGGGGGAAAAATCCATCCCAACTCGTCTTCATATACCCCCAAAGCCCTATTCCAATCATTACGGCCCCTATATTAAGCTCTTGCTTTCATCCATCCCAGCTCGTTGTCGCCCCTTTTCCTCAAATCTGAGGCCTGGAGGAGGTTGCCAGGCCAGTCTCGCTTTGCGGAGCTTTCCTGGGCGGTGGGGATGGTCTTTGGAAGTTGGGTTTGTTTTGTAGTATGTCGTGTGTGTATATATATATATATATACATATATATATATGTATATATATATATATATATATATTATGTACACGCACAGAGTATGTATATATATATATATATATGTAGAGAGAGATTATATAGATATACACACATGTGCATCCTCCTGAGTTCATTAACAATGACGGTGTATATACTGATTTGTTTGGTATTGTATAATAAGGTCAGTATATCGTTCCGTATTTACGTATACTTGCCATATGAAGGATAGGGCCAGAGGCCAGAGGTAGCATCTTGGAGTATTTGGGCCGAGGGGGTCTTGGTACGTTTTCGGCCTGTGCCTTTCAAAAAGTCGGATCTGGCTCTTGAGCCCTACTATAGGGGCTTTAATAACTTACCTATACTATTTTCGGGGTTCCTTAATTATTGTAATTATAGTATAGTGGACCCCAAAACCCCATTCTAATCATTAAGGCCTCTGTATTACCGACTCCAGCCGAGTAGATCGCGTCAGCCCCAAGCCCTCTGTGAGATGCGCAGGCAAGTGGTGGAAGCAGCCGAGGTGGGAACTAGCCGGACTGCCCTTCTATGCTCCGTGCTAACGGAGGTGTCATAAGTCATAAGCCATCAGCTTAAAATGGGTTCAAAGTGGATCGTCTTCCGAGCCCTTCCACTGTGACACAATACCAACCTGAACGTGCACTCGCTGAACTCTAAACTCAGTTTGGCCCTTATAAAGCCAACCCTAAACCCGGAAAAGGGCACCCCTGAAATTTCAGATATCCTCCATGTAGCAGGGCCTCACGACCTGGTTCTTCTTTCAGTTGATCTTAACCAGGACTTTACATTGCATTATGATACTTTCGCTGGCATGCCACACTTCAGGACCGTCATAGCACAACATGATCTGCGCATGCTTCCCACCGAGGGTAATACATGGTTCGCTAGGGGATCTTCCTCCAAGATTGACTTTGTCTTCTTTCGTGGACTAGGGATGTGTACTTCTACTGAAAACCGTTCTGATTTGCGCCTAGGGCTTCCCTCCGACCACAACGCCCTCCTCGTGAACTGCTCAGCGAAAGACCCTCTAGCGAGACCACAATATCGTAGGACGTTGTGTGGCGTCTGGGATACGGATCCGCGACGGCTTGAAGCGGCTGCTTCCTGCCACAAAGCCTTCGACCTGGCAACCTTGTATACACTCAGGGATAAAGCTGTGGTTAAGCCCCCCAGTCTTCGGTACAAAGATCCTCTGCATGTGCATGAACTTATACGCCAACGTAAACAGTCATCCGACCCGAGTGCACGCTCCAAATTAGTTGCATGTATACATGAGGCACGCAAGCAAGCCAAGCTAGAGCACAAAACCGAGCTCCTGCAACGTGCTCAAGCAGGGGACAGGTCCGCCATATCGTTCCTTAAGCGGAGCTCAGCAACATCGGCGACAGATGCGGGCTTTCTTCAACGGGCAGGGGGAGCAACTAAGGCACAGATGGATGTGAAGTCGTTCTACCAAGCTAAGTATATGCAAGAGGACGTTACCCCCATCTCCCCTATTGTCGAAGAGCTTCTGCGCAAACACAGTCACGCCCGCTTTGAACCCATCACCCTTGAAGAGATATCCAAACATTTGGGTAAGTTAGATAACAAGACTTGCACCGGTGAGGACGGTGTCCCGTACAGCCTGCTCAGACAATTGATGCTCACAGATCTGAAGCATTCATTCTGCAGTTTTCTGAATGACACTATGTATACAGGGAACATTCCACCAGAATGGAAAACTGGACGGATCAGCTTCATACCCAAAATCAAACTCCCGATTAGTCCCGCTGACTTGCGCCCTATATGTCTCACCAGCACCGTGGCCAAACTTTTCGGTCGCATCCTCATCTACAGAATTCGTAAATTTGCTCCTGCATGTAACCCCCTCCAATTAGGCTGCCACCCGGGCAGACAAGCTATGGATGGAATTAATACGGCGCGGGCCGCAATATCGGTCAGCAAGCGCTCGAGTAATCCCCTGTGTTTTGCAAAACTCGACATTAAAGCCGCATTCGATTCGTTATCCCATAGGGCAATCGCTCATTATCTTCGGGAACTCGCTCCCTGCAAAGAGGCCCTGGCACTTTGGCATCTATCTACTGACAATGAAGTTATACTGGAGGTAGGAGGGCAGTCCTGGAAACAATCACTAGGCAAAGGCATACTTCAAGGAACATCTTACAGCGCTGAGCTCTTTTCGAGAATTATTGCATGGACATTAGATTCTGTTATCCGCGACTTACAACAAGTGGCCCCGGTTAACATTTGCGGAGTTTCCTTCCCAGCCCTCCTTATATATGCCGACGACATCCTACTTTTTGGGACCCGCCCACAAGACCTTCAGCATAGACTCCGCAGAGTCCAGGGCGCTCTGGCAGCAATTGGCCTTCATATTAATATATCTAAGAGTTCTGTGCTGCAAGGCCCCTTAGGCGAACACTATGGCATCTGGGGGATGAACACAGTAACCCCCCTGCGTGTCTCTGAGACCTTCATTTTTCTGGGGGTTCCCCTAGGGTTCCAAGTGACGGGCGAAGACACCCTTTTCCATTGCCTACGTAAAACACAAAGCAGCTTCTTTGCATTCAAACGCATCATGGATGCTACTGCATCTTCTTTGTGCACTAAGGTATCCATATTTGAAACCTATGTGAGTAGTAGGTGGCTCTGGGCCTCGCCCGCGGTCTTTCCCACAGTTACGCTTCTTCGTAAGGTAGATTCTATGCGAAATACTTTACTCCTCAGTTTACTTCGTCTACCCACAGATCCGCTTCTCGACTGGGTAACTAACGAAGTTTCCCGGCGCAGAGGGGTACGCATCCTCTGCGATAAGCTACCTCGAATGCCTCAATGGGCGCAGCACTGGCTCCAACGCTTCTGGCGGTATTGGGGGCATGCGGCACGTGAAAGACCTGACAGCCCTCTACGACAATACTTTATGTGCCTAACTGGCTTTAGGTTGCGACGACGACTCACCCAACCGGCTGCTGTAGTTGACACTGATGCTCGTAAACTTCAGCAGGTTTACACATGTTTCCGCTTTAAATATTCCTATAGTATGTGGATGGATGCAGCGGAAGACCGACACCTCTGGAATAGTTTGGAGTTTCTCTGGCTCCAGTACTGGCTCACTCCCATACCTGACCCCATCCCTCCGGATTATCTCATGGGTAAACAGTTGGTTGCCGTTGCAGATTATTGGGCCACCTTCCGTCCTGCACGTAGTCTGCCATTTGATGATCCATACAGTCAACCATTCAAGTTGATATCACACATACACAAGGACTTTGACAAACGTAAAGGCATTCTCATTCTGCTAATTCAACATGATGACCAGGGATGTTCCGTAGTAACGGGCACCGCCGGGCTTGACCCTGCTGCGGTGCTAGTAACACAACTTCCTCCTCACTACGAGGATTCAGTCAACAATCATCTCGCTAGCCTTTTGGTACTTGGTACGCTTATCAAGCTATTAAGACGGGAAAGTCGGTGCCTCGTCACACCCATCATCAGCCCAGGGATCCTTTCGCGTGGTGTACTTGCCAACACCTCGGATAAAGCAGACCCCATTCTTCAGGCAAGATGGCTCTCAGTTGACCAACGCTTTAACATCATAGGTAGTTCTTTCCTACCTCCCAAGAAAATCCCGGATAGGCTCTACCATTTCTTTCATCCGACGTATAACGCCACACCAGTCAAAGTGTTGCAACGAAGCTGGAACTTCCAGGAAGCAACCTACGTACCTTTCCGCGAATTTGTCAATTCCTGAGAAACCCTCCCCCAACAGTACCCCAAAAAAAAAAAAAACAAACTCACAAGATGAGACAGGGAGGAAAAGGGGGCAGGGCGGGTTTAAAAAGGTACGCCAGGCGAATACGCCGCGGGATAGACTGCAGGGATTTGCATAGATGCATACATGTCAGTCCTTGCCAGGGAGCTCCGAGTGCGGTGTTTGCTATGGCTGTCATTGTGCATGCCTTTCACATGTGCCGATAGGCCTGCCAAGTTGTGCACTGCTCGTGAACCTGCTGCATCCCACAGCCTGGCCCGAAATCTTTAGCGCCCCGGCCTTCATTCCTTTTGACGCACTCATGTGGCAAGAGCTGCAGTGGCTCCTCATTCTTACGCTCAGCGTGATCTATGGTCTGCAAGTGACAGGTTTGTCTGCACGTGCATGGAATTTGGGCATGAAGATGTTTTCCGGATGGGAGTCCCGCCAAAACCTCCCTTTCGGGCCAGAACCTCCGGGACAGGAAGCTCTAAGCAACGACCCAGCCTGGGCAGCCGCTCTGAAAGAGAGCATTGAACATCTTTTGGAAATGCTGAAGGCTCCGTCGCCTGACCCGCCAGCATGGGGAGACCAGGTGGTGGCAAGCCTGGATCGTGTCAGATGCATGGTGGATGCCTTAACACAACCTACAACAGGTGTCCAGGATACCCTCTCGAATATAGGGGACGTCGTCGAGGAGAGTAAGAAGACTCTGTTCATTTTGGCATCCAAGAGACCGCATCTTGATCTGCTCCCGGAAATTAAAACTGCATGTGATGTTGTACGTGACAAGCTGGAGAATGGCGCCTGCATGCTCACCCCACAAGCCCGTGCCGAAGACAGAGCCTTCTCGCAGAACACCCTTAAAGAGCTCAACGATCTTGGGAAAGGACAGCAGAGCTTGCATGGGGAATACAAAGAGGTGAAGCAGCTGTGCCAGGAGACCAAGCAGAAGGTCAACAGCACCTACGGACTGGAAGCGATATACCACCATATCTCGACGGTCTTGCAGTCACAGAAAAACTTTGGTGCGTCTATGCCCAAAATAATTAAGTGCGAGCATGATGAATTAAAGGTGGATGTGGAGTCCCTCTGCGAAAAGGTTGTGCGTGTTGAAGAAACACAACAGCACATCCTGGCCACCCTGCATGAAGTACAGGCGATGCTAAGGCAGCAAAGCAGCCCACCGGAACCTGTGCAACCGGATGGCCAGCAACCCCAGGCCCCTCGCTCTTCGCCCTCTAGCAATGATAATCTACGGGTCCCCGACTATGTGCCCTCCATTCCTGCCCATCCGGCTCCAGCATCTCCGGGCCCAGCCAAGTTTTCGCTAGAACAAGCCCTAGGACCAGGCCCTAGCTCACCGCCTAATCCTTTTCCTATGCATGGCCAACCACCGGCAACATCGTCTGATCTGTTTGCTACTATGTCTATGTGTATGGATATGATGAAGGCCATGCAACAACATCAATCCCGCAATGTCTAGTGATTCTTTAGCTTTTGCCTAGCACTATGGGTCTTACTTTTGCAATCCCTTATCCTCTGGAGTAGCGGGATACTTCGTGATCCAAGTCACATGCACACTGAATTTACGAATTTAGAATTCACGAATCCATGTATAATTCCCTGACATGCCTGTCTCTGCAGCTTGCATGCGGTGCCTAATACGGTGCCTCAATCTGAACGCCTGTGACAAAAAGAGTGCAATGACTCGTCGTGCGCCACTTCATGGGCTCCGCCCGCAGACCCGAAATGTGGTAGCTGTTTTCACAATCGATGTTTTCCCCCCTACAACTGACCCTCACATGCTCTTGTTTGCGACCGAGGTTCATATTACGAGTCACGATGTAGCCCTGGCTCATCAGTTTAGTGTACTCTTCATGTATGCACAGCCATGTGGGATACCGTTGTACGCAATCCGATACTGCTCTTACCCCTTTTGGGAGCCGTGTGGGCATTGACGTGGGGACTGCGCTTTGTTTATGATAGACACATACGACCTGTGCTACATCAGCTACAACGCCTCCTACACCTGCAAGAATCGGAGCTTGCTATGCTGTCGGCCATGCAGCTTCGTCTGCAAGAGCTTGATAAACTGCCGGTTCTAGAATTGCACGTACAAGCCCTCCTTGGGACAACGCGTACCCACACACTGCTGCCAGCGATTGATACGCGCCTGCGAAAAATGGAGTACGAAGTGGACCAGATCCGGAGGTCCATCCTTCAGCTGAGCACCGAAATGAAAGACCTTCATAATATAGCATCGGAGGCAATTCATTTGCATGATGACTTCACCAATGAAGTTATTGATCTGCAGGCTGATCTTTCTGATGCCATCCCAGAGGTTCACAGGTTTATGTTCTTTGATTCGCCATAGACTAGATTCTCAGGATTTCATCCTGCAGTGCTTGTTTTATTCTCTGGATGAATCCTTTTTATTAGCCTGCGATCTCGCCAATATTGTAGAAGAGGCCATTGACCCGCAGTGTCCGTATCCTTTCACTCTTAGGCTTGCTCATAGACCCCGAGGCCAGGGCCCCAGACCTCACAATCGGCAGTATTACTAGGCACTACTTCCCCTCCCCTCCCTCTAATTCTCATCCCATCCTCTATGCCAGATATGCATGTTTTGAATTTAGGATGTTCGAATTTGTGTGCACCATTAAATGCAAGGAATCCATACATGCATGGCGCAGTGTGACCTCAATTCATGAAAGAGTGCACCGTCCGTTTCTGCTGTGTTCACAAGGCCTTCAGTCCACCTGTGGTATCGGGCTCGAGCAATGCTAGCAGTTCATCATCTTGAACCATGTACCTCCGTCCCCGTTTGGATGTTCTTACACCTTGGGAGCTCAGTAGGGAGTGTATTTGGGGCCTCGAAGTCCAAAACATGTTGCTCAATACCCTCCGGATCTTTGTTATGTTGCTGCTTCAAGGCTCTTGGTTCGATTCAGGAAAATGCGATGCATGATTCCTTTGCAGCACAGTGGGTCTGTCCTTTGGTCATACTGGGCTACCCTCATGGATGTTATCTCTAGTACACTTGCTGCGCATGAACAGGATAGACCAGAAACTATTAGTATTCACGACAATAACCGCATCTTTCTTTGGGCTGAACGTGTATCCATGCGTGTTTACCACACACTAGACTGCTATTCTGGTATCCATACCAACTGGAATCTTCCTTATCTGTGGCCTACAGGAGACCCACGGCTTCGGAGTGAAAGGGTATGTTTTGTCAATCCCGAAGACCCCATTAATGAACAACCGCTCTCCCCAGAAACACACTTTCGTCTGATGCATCCACAGAGACCCCTTTAGCCTCAAGCTTCTTGCGCATGTGTAGAACTGGAAGCAATGCCCCTCGAGCAGGTTGAACTGAAACAAAGACTCAGATGTGAACTGCAGAGTATGCCTGCTGGAGTGGCTAGGGTAGCTGCGGATTCTCTGTACTCTAGGTTTGCACAGAAGCGTAATACCTACCCTTTAGATGGAATTGTAGTTGTTCACGATGCCATTATGGAATGCGCTCCTTATTGGCTAGACAGCTCTGCGGACCCTGTAGCGGATAATGTACACGCCCATACGAGAGAGGAAGTACATGACTGGGTAGTCTGGATGGAGCGACAAGTCTATGAAACCTCTGTAATAGTTGCTAGGTCGTTTATGCCCCCTACTCCAAACCTTGAACCTACCCCCTCCTCGGACCCTACATCTTCCTCGCAACAGCTTCATACCCGGCATGTTGGTACCCAAACTAATTGGAGTATTCCGCCTGAAATGTGAAAGTGTGGCTCAGATGGCTCTTCTAGGTAAAGCCAACCCCGAACCCACGCCCTGCATGCCCGATCCTACCCAACAGGTCTCTGAACTGAAGAGGCAGATCCTTAAGGCATTTGACGATGCCCCTGCAAAATACAAGCTAGCGGAAGGCTCGGGGCACACACTCACCCTAGGACTGAATCCTCGGGACCTAACACGCCTCTGTGTTGCAACAGCCCCTCTACAATATTTAGCCTGTCAGCTTAGTAGCCTTTTCCACCTGGTTACCCCTCACCATAAGTTCTCAACTATCACTATTCGGGATTCTGCGGGTAAAGGGTTACACAGGGATCTTCGGAATTCTCACTATCCACAAGCGGTTATTGCCTTAAGTGACTTCACAGGGGGGGAAATTTGGGTTGAATCTCCTTCAGGCACTGTACCTAAAGACTATATGGGAGGAATCCTTCAGGGCTCCTTGCACAGTTTTGATTGTGGGGCCCCGCTCATCTTCACAGGCAAAAGGCTCCTTCATGCCACTGAGGATTGGTGTAACCGACGAGTGGTAGCAGTTGCCTTTACAGTCATGGGATCCATTAGCATTACTAAGGAACTCGACGGTGCCCTCAACTCCCTAGGTTTTGTTACACCGGATAGCTTAGAGGTTGATTTCTACTCTAGAGTACTAATGGGCCCTGGGCAGCTTCGACAAACTACCCTATGTGATTTCCCAAGAAGTACATCACGTAAAGTATGGGGAGTGGGAAAACTCAAACAGGGTCTTCCAGTAACCTTGGTGCTTAGTGACAGCGAAGAGGATCTAGCAAACAATACAAGAACTATTGAACCACCCCCTGCAGCACACTCAGATGGTTTAAACCCTGTTCACTCTCTGAACCCGGATAAGCGCCCCCGGCCCACCCAAGTAGACTCCTACACCTCTGACTCCCAAGCCACACTACCCTGGCCCATGGATGCCGTCGTGGGGGCATAATCTCTACTTCACAGAAGGCAGGAGTGTGTGCAAGATACGCTCCCAGGATAGCCTGGTTTGTGTGGGGTCTTTCTTTGAGGTCCCTGGAGTTCTGCTTTCTATTGTAACTCTTTTACTTTGCTGTCCTCTTCATACTACAAGCCCACTGTGCCCCTATCCCCACTAACCCCCCACTTCAGCATGTTTTATCCCTTTCCTTTTAGTATCTGGTGGCTAGCCTTAGTCTTCCCTATGTTGTATACAC